TCATAATAATAATAATAATAATAATAATAATAAAACCGGTTGTCCGAAATAAACTGGTTTTATTATATCTGGTTTATCGAATATTAATATTAATATGAAAAATAGGAACCTCTAATTCATTCAATCATTTCCTTTTTCTTGAATGACGTGTAACAAACAAATTTTTCGCACAACATTTTTTTGATTTTCTCTAACAGGATTAAACGAAAATTGCATTATTTAAAGAACAACTTCATCATCACCAAACTCTAGTAGTCGATTTATCGTGATACAGCAATAAAGAAATTCTTTGAAGATTTGAAAGTGATAAAAAAAGAAAACAAATTAAAACTCACAACAAAATTTGTCTTATGTGCTATGTAAAGGTACCAATATTTATCAACCTATGTTGCTTCAAACTCGGGCACTAAAGCACATTATTAATATTATTGCGTATTACTATTACGCGTAGTTAACTTCAAAGTCAAAAATTCGAAAAACATCAATCTAACACAATTCATATATATGCAAAGACAGTTTGATTTTTTGCATTTTATGAAATGTAATAATAAAAGAATGTTTTAATTTGTAAAAAAGAAGTCATTTTTATTCGAAAAAAAAAGAATATATATGTATATTTTTTGAATTATATATATTATTAATGTACATATAATTTATATATGAATGTATATTGTGAGATCGTGTCCAAGCTTCAATGATGATTATTTATTTATTTGATGTTTATGCTAATAAATAATACAATTTCTTCCAATTTGTAATAACAATTTCTGCGAATATATATTTATGCTTTACTCCCAAACTATCTTTCACCGTCATTAAACGATTCGTTGCTAAGCAATACTAAACAATATCCTTAGATTTCACACTATGTCCTGATCACGTTTATTGGTGGATGCCCCTCTCGCACTATTACTCCCTACTCGTCTCAGGTACATTTCCCAACCTTCACTAAATAAAATTTACCTACTAAAAGAAAAGAAAAGAAATAAAAAATAATAATAAAATAGAGACAATTATAAAATAAGAGAAAATTAATTATGCACGGAAAATATAAAATCGAAGACCGGGTCAAGAACAAGACAAGGTTAAGGTTAAGGACAGTCGGTTATTTATTATGAATTAACTATTCATTAACTATTGATTTTCTATTTTTTTTAGTTTAGAATATTACTATGTTATTTATACATGTTATCATCTAGCTCCCCATTTCTAAAAACTCTTAATTAAAGTATTCCTTAAAAATAAACAAACCTTTCTTTTGGAAATAATTAAAGAAACGTTACTTTTTTGATAATTTCCGCGAGTTAATTATTTTATTAGCTTATTGCACTTTATCAAATTGGACTGATTTGAATCTTTGAAATGTTCGTAAATCGTTCGTGATCCTTAATTGCTATTACTATTACTATTACTATTACTATTTTCACAATCGAAAGATGATACATTTATTTAATGTTTACACTAATACAATAATATAATTTAGCAAGGAATTGTTTAATGACAGTGAAAGATAATTTTGAGATATTTCCCACAAAATTAAAACCGGTTTTATTAAATTCGGTTTAAAACCGTTTCCAACATCTAGTAGTACTCGAATTTATTATTATTATAGTTTTTCAATAGGACTGATTCCAGTATCAATTTTTTGGTGTGACAAATTTTGCCCATATAAAGAAGTTTATTAATTAAAATTTTTTCCTGTGAAAAAAATATATAATTCCTTTTTAGGAAGAACTAAAGGAAAATTCAAAATACTTGGTTTGATGTTAAATTCGCCATGTTAAAAGTAGTTGGCACAATAACCTTACCATAACGCCATGATGTTTTGAGGCATGTGGCCAAACATAGTGTCTTTCCTAAGCATCTAACTAATTGATGGATGTTAATAATCATTATTTTTTTTTTGTTTATTTACAAAATGTTAAATTTTATATATAGATAAGGTCTGTATATGAAGTAAACATAGTGGTGGTTCCAAAAACTCTTCTTTTTTGAAAGTAGATCGTGATTGCGATTGTTTATCAATGGTCCCAAAAGAAGAGTTTGCAGAATTACACGAATCCTTCCAAGCTCTTTCTCAACTAGAAACAAGGCAACCTTTCAATGGCTCAGATCATGGCAATGGATGATGATTGAGTAGTAATATGAGCAGGCGCATCAAAAAGAAAGCTTGCGTCAATAAAAGAACTGAAATCACAATGTTTTAATGTGCCAAAATTTTTCATAAATAATTGAGTGTTCATGGTAATATTAAAAGAATGTCTTCTGCACATTATTGATTCTACTGGTTATAATTGTTTATAAACTATAAATGCTATAGTTGATTGTGAAAATATTCAAGCCACAAACTTGTTTATTTTAATTGGTGATCCGCCGATCAACGAGAAATTTGTTGTGCAGATTCAGGATATCAAAATTTAAGGGATCACGGAATCCAAGAAAAAACATAACTCAGTAATATAATGTGGATCGTCTTTATCATTATCGTTTAAAGCTCCGGATGAACCGAACTTATACTTAGCTTGAAATTAATATTATTTTTTATAAAACCACGATTCTGCGGACTATTGAAAATAATAGAAGTAAACAATAATAAACTATAAATTATATAATATTTGAATTTTTTAATCGTTTAAATCGTCATCAATAATTTTATGACAGAAAAAAATATCAAATGAGAATAATTCAAGATTACATGTTTTAACAATATTTGTGCTTTTAATAAAAGAATGGTTTTTAATACGGAAATATATGTATACAGCCAAACTTCGCTTCAACGAATTTATGTAACACATAGGAAAATTTCATTTAAAATTCGTTATGTAAAAATTACTAATCACGTTTCAACGAATTTCATATGTTTTTAAAAATTCGTCATAATGCGAATTAAATTATAATTCGTTGAAATGAGGTTTGACTGTATAAAATTTCACAGATATTTGCGGAGAATTAAAACGAAATGCAAAACGGTTAAAAAATCTATATTATTATTGAGAGTTCCTGTTCATAATACAAATTTTTATTCGAGTTATTCGGAATACAACTCAATTAATATGTTTTATTTGTCTTGTTGTTTATTTGAATTATTCGTTTCGTCCATTTTATTCAAATTATTCATTTTATTCGAGTTTGTTATTCAAATAAAAACTCCAAGTTGAGCAAGCTCGAGTTAAAACTTGAATTTTCAAGCTCAAGAAAATAGGCTCTTTAGGTAAATATGCATAAATAAAATAAAAGTGTTGTGAAATAATCATTCGTTACCATTTATCAGCTCTCAACTCGAAATCTTGAACCTATTATTTCTTGGCCCGTTCAGAGCTTAAGAAATTCGGTCAACGCTAGAAAATGCTTCTGAAATATTTCCAATTGGTGCAAGTGGATTGTTTTTATCTCAGGACTGCCCAACTTGTAATTTTTTAGGTAAAATGTCAAGTGCTGTAGAAACGCGTCTATTTTTATTTTAAATGACAACTATCAACCTCGTAAAAAAAGTCTTTTCCTGGATTATTTGAACCATTTAACTTTTCAATACTACTCCTTGGGCTACTAAATAACCAAATTTCTTTTTATTTTCATCAAAATCATCAATAGTTCCTCTTGTCCATATACATTGCATTACAAATCAAACCAAATCTGCCTTCAGTTAATTTTGTAATATCCTCAAGTTGCTCAAAAGGCATCCATTCTAACATATGGTCTGGCAAAGATGGTTTCATTTTGGCATTGTTGAATAAAATCGTCAGTTATGTTATTTCCAGATGTCCAAGTAGTGAAAAGGCCCTGTAATTAATTATAACCTTCACAGAATATATCAGAGTATCCTGTCAATTTACACTTGTTACATTCTTTTGGTTTGTCACATTTATATTTAATTCAAATCATAAATAAACTTTCTTTGGGATATACTTTTTCGTTTTCAGAAATCTCCTTGTTTTTTTAAGGGGGATAATCTTATCGTAAAACAGGATGCAAAAGCCTCCGGAGTAGCTTTGCTTTGCCAAATTGATTGATTGGCTAAAGACTTGAAAAAATTCAAGTTTCACGATTTCACACATAAGGTGGTGGACAATGGAAACACATGCCTTTGTTTCTCTCAGTTTCTATTGTCCACACCATAATTAGTAATAAGTAGTAGTGGTCCAACTATAATCGACATAACTGATTTCAATTGTCATGTGTTAAATAAATTGAATTAATATTTTAAAATCAATAAATAAATGCATGAATTTATTTTATGAAATAAAAATTTTTTTAAAAAAAGAATTTAAATGTTATATTTATATAATAAAAAAATGTCGGATTTCGCATCCTTGCTTCCAAAAGCACCCATTTTATTCTCATCCACCATTAATTATTATCGTTACTGACCACCACAACCATCATGGGACTTAAAATTTTATTTGATGTTCAACATTACAAAAGATATGTCTGGTA